CTGCCTAACTCAGGATTAGGAATTCCAGTAGGTGCTGCAATGCCTAAATCCCCCACAGGCTGCTATAAAAAAGCCCAGTCTAGCTTGTATCCAGAGGAAAGAAGCCTAAGTATACTTTTTAATCATCTGCTTTATATCGTCTAGGTAGATTTCAGCTACTTCAAGTACTAGATATAATTAGGTATCACACGGTTACTAGATATAATTAGGTATCACACCATCTTCTAACTTTTATATAAACTGTCCATTCACAGAGAGTCATGCTTTTAAAGACTGAATATTACTATACATTAACATTTCCTAAACCACAATATCATTCAATAGCCTGGAATGATATATTTGGGAGAAGGAGACACTTGAAAAGTTATATACTAAAAACAAGACTCTCCAGTTGCTGTCCCATAGCAGAGCAATGTAAGGCGTACAAATAACGCACATTACTCTAACAAACAAAAACAGTTCAAAGATACATCAACAGTTTGTTAGTAGTTTCATGACATTCCAGAGCACTTTACCATCATCCTGCAACACTGCTAGCTGCAGCTGTTATTTTTCTGTTCAAAAATTGTATTGCCCATACAGGAGATAAAAAACAAGCTAGTTAATAACCTTTGATTCAGCCTTTATATCCGACTTATTTCTATAGATTATATGTACTGGTTTCATTACAGAAATCATACCAATATTTTGTTTTGGGCCACAACTATATTAGAGGTGAAATTCAATATAAAAAAACCCCCACAATTTGAGTTGAGGACACTGTCATCTGGGGAAAAGAGACTCACTCCTCTCCAAAGACTGTTCACCTACTGTTGTTACAGAAACACACAAGAGTAAAAGTAGTTTTCTTCATTCACTTATGTATTGGACAACTCTTCCCTGTTTAGTCAACTTCCCCTTTTGTTGTTAAGGTGAGTACTTCACACACACTAACTGGAAAGAGAAAAGTGTTGTAAAAACAATAGGAAAGTAGGATTTTAAAGACACAATAAGGGTATGTCTACACTACAGGATTAATCCGAATTTAGATAATTCGAATTTGGGAAACAGGTTGTATAAATTCGATTGTGCGCGGCCACACTAAGCACATTAATTCGGTTTTTAACCACATTAATTCGGTGGTGTGCGGCCACACTACCCCATTACTTTAACCACAGTAATTCGGTGGTGTGCGGCCACACTAACCCTAATTCGAATTAACAAAATCGATTTAGGCACTACTCCGCTCGTTGAGGTGGAGTACAGAAATCGATTTTAAGTGCCCTTTAATTCGAATTAACTGGCTCTGTAGTGTGGACGGGTGAAGGGTTAATTCGGATTAACGCAGCTAAATCCGAATTAAAGTCGTAGTGTAGACCAGGCCTAAGGCAGATGTAACACCTGAAAACATTGCCCCCGTTAACTGTGGGGGAGGCATAGAAAAGTATTAAGGTCAGACTATGTTGTTAAGTACACAAACTTTTACAATTATTTTCCCTTCTGTGATATCTTTTCGGTTCTTGATGGTTCACTAAAAATGTATCATCCTGCACTGTCAAAAATGTATGGATTGCAATGAAGCTTCTAGAATCTATGATATCTTCACTGAAACAGAATTCCCAAAAAGGATTTGTTTAACACTGTCCCCAACCCAAACAGCCTGGAAAAAGTACTCCTGGGGGCATTCTGCACCAAAAAAATAAAAACTCCGTGCAAAATTCTGCAAATTATATTTGTCAAATAAATGTAGAGACTTCAGCGTGGCTTTGGGGAGCACAGGCCACTGACTGCACAGAGGTGGGAGATCACTGTACAGCCCCCCCTCCACACACAGACTCAGCGGTGAGGCTGCACCCAATCCACACACAGCTCAAGGACTGGGCCTGCCCCGGAAACACCCCAGGGCCCTGCCCCTCCATGCCAGGTGCACCAGGTGTGGGCAGGCAGGATCCAAGCATGGAGAGGCTTAGTGTGGGGGGATCCAAGTGTGGGTTGAGGGGGTTCTGTGTGGGGCAATCTGGGTGCGGGCGGCTCAGGGATCCGGGTGTGGGGGGATCTGGATGCACAGGGGCTTGTTGGTGGGTGGAGGGGGTTGTGGGGGCAAAGGTAATGGGACTCTGCAGGGGGGTCCAGCTGAGTGTGGTTGGGGGTCTGGGTGTGGGGGGATATAGAGCTTGACAGGGGCGTCTGGATGTGGGGGGCTCAGTGAGGGGTCCAGATGCTGGGGGAGTGGGGCTCATTGGAGTGGGGATTCAGGTGCAACTGGCTGGGGCTCAGTGATGTGGGGATCTGGGTGCGGGTGGCTCGTTGGGCAGGTGCAGGGGGAGTGGGGCTCATCAGGGGGGTTCCAAGTCAGGGAGTGAGGCTCAGCAGGAGGGTCTGGGTACGGAGGGGATCTGGATGCATGGGGGTTGGGTGGATGGGGGAGCAGCTCCCTGTACATGGATACCTCCTCCCGTAGGGATGAATGCAGGAAGTAGGGGGTGAGGGTAAGTGTGCAGAGCTTCCTGTAGCTGGGGGAGAAATCTGGGGGTGGGTCTTACCCAGCCCTGGATGCAGTGCAGGGGAAGAGGGAGTCCCATCCTCCCCAGCCCAGCTGGGATTAGCAGCTGAGTCCTGCGCAGGATAGGAGCCACCAGCCAGGTCTTCCCCAGCCCCACCCCCTACCCCTACCTCTCTGACGGCTGCCCCGCAACATACTTCTGGGGAGGGTCGCATGACCGCTCCGTTTGCTTTCCCGTCAGAAAGTCATTTTTCTGCGGGGAAGCAAAGAAAACTGCAAGGGACATAAATTATGCACATGCGCAGTGGCGCAGAATTCCCCCAGGAGTAAAAAAGGGTGCATTCAACAACTAAAAAAAATAATATTTATTTTAAATAATCAGAGTAATTAATAACTAGCAAGGTAATCAAGTGTTTACTTGCCTCCTTACAAAGCTATCAATTTCAATCTACAGACTTTGATCGGCACTCAAAGTTTACTACAACGCTCTCCAAAAGTGAAATATATCACCCACCTAGTTTACCAAATGAAGTTAATATTTTTATTGAGTTTTGGCTCGAACCTGCCTCCCCATCCTGCAACTGACCAGTCTGTGGCTGTAGTCAGTAGTTAAAATCTGATCCCCAGCTCACTTTTATCACTACTTACTGCCAGGAATTCTGCACACCATCATCTGATAAGAAATTCAGGAATAGCTTACAAAATTATAATAAATTATGTTGGATATGTGTCTCTCTACTTTGTTTTGACCCAGAAAAAAATCAGCAGGTCATTTCCTGTTACCCCATTTTAAATAAGAGAAAAATGCTACTTTTAGCATTTCACTGACAAGTCATAATAGACTACATAATGAAATGCCACAGGTCAGATTTTCAGAACATCCCATTTTACAGTAATGTCTCCTCCCCAAGGCAACCTCAGAAAGCCTAATATGGATAGGAGATTTTTAACAAAAATATCTAGTTTTTAATAAGAACAGATTTAAACATTTTATTAAGATGTTTTTAAAAAAGTGAACGGTACAGAGTTTAAGTGTAGAAGTTTCTCGTTATCAGGGAATAACGTACAGATTATCAAGGGGTGCGAAGTTCGGTTTAAGATTTGATGGCGTAAGGAATACATCCGATTGGGGGGTCAAAGGTTAACGGGTCAAAGTACAGATATTGAGATAAGAGAGTATGTTGTTCATATAATGGCTACATTCAGGTGTGGAGTATCATGAGTGGATACAATGATGAGGATGGATTGACCCCCATTTGGTGAGATTTAATGTTCAGTGAGTTTATGGTTCCAGTTCATATGGTCCAACAGACAAGTACATACATAAGTCAACCCCACAGACTGAAGTCTTCATGCTAAATCACAGCATGTAAGCCATGAATGCACACCCCCACCAACTCCCTTCCTATAGCATCATAACAAAGGGATAAACAATTAAAAACAAAACTTGAGTCTTTTCTAGCTTAGCTACTACCCCTGTCATTTGCAAGAGGCCGACAATGCACATTTTCAAACCAGGTCTCCGAAAATCCGGGCACTTCCTTGTTTCCTCTCTCTATATCATATTGTTGTATTTCCCTCCAACCCTCCCAAACACAAATACTTCATTTTGCCTCGCTTTACTTCCACACTAGGCCAAGCATTACCTTGGCCAGATCCCATTTCCCACCAGGATAAATGCAGAAAAATAAAAATAACCCCGCCAAAAGAAAGTCACCCAGCCAAGGGACAGAAAAAGGTCACGCACGCGGCAAAGAAATGCTTAATAGAAGCAACATCCTTCCCCCAGACGCACACAATTTTAAGTGACAATCCACTTATTTGCACTAACACTTGCATTAACACTCTAGGCTGGCGAAGCAGAGTTGCACTAGGTGCGTTGCTAGGCTGGCTGCCGATGCCGAGCGGACTTTGTATTTTTTTCCCTACGGGTCGGGGAAATGAATTGTGCAGAGACGGACAGGAAAGGGGTTGCATGGCGAGGCACGAGGGGAGCTGCGCGCCCGGAGTGGCGGACGCATCTGCATGCCTGGGGAGAGGCGGGGGAGACACAGGGCAGGGGGAACCTGCACGCCTGAAGGGCGAGGGCAATTGCATATATAAAGGACAGGGAGATCTGCATGCCTGAGGGGGGTTACCACAGGGGGCCCTACAACATGGGGGAGGGGAGCCCACAGGAGACGTGCAGGCGGGGGGGAGAGCAACCTACACGCCGGGGGGAGGGGCAGCCGGATGCCTGCACGGGGGAATCAGCTGCGTGCCTGGAAGGAGTGGGGTGCGGGGGGGGGGAGATCTGGAAGGAAGGAGCGCAAGGATTTGGGGAGGGAAGCGCTCGCATGTGGCCGCTGGCTGGTGGGCAGAGCGCGGCGGCGGCTGGAGCAGCAGGAGGGCCTGCAGCAAGGAGCGGGCCGGGGCCGGCTCCCCCTGGCCCGCTGACTGGCCAGAGGCGGAGCACCAGCCGCCGCTCGGGGCGGGGAGGTGCAAGCGGGGGGCGCGGCGGGCGGGCGGGGGCGCTGACCTGGGGCGCTGAGCAGGAAGTCCAGGGTGCTGTGTCGCGCTGCTGCTGCCATGGCGAGGCGGAGCCCTGTGCCATGCCTGGTGGCGGCGGCCGCTGCTGCTGCGCTGCGAGTGCCACTGCCAGAGCCCGTGTGCGGCGTGGGGCTGCTGCGTTGCCGCGTGTGCGGCGGGCTGGGGGAGCGCAGGGGGAGGGACCCGCCAGCGCCGCCCAGCTCACGCTGAGGGGAGCGCAACCGCGGCGGCCTCCGGGGGCGAGGCTGTGCTGCAGGCGGGCCGCGGAGGCTAAACCGGGGGGGTCCCCGCCTTCCCCCTTCACTGCCGCCCACAGGTCTGGGAGACACTGGGCAGTAATTAAACAGCAACAAACCCTGGGCCCTGCTGCGCTCCCAGCCCAGGCAATGTCCCCTCTCCCTCCCTGGCACGGCCACGCTGTTCCAGCACCAGGAGAGGGGAAGAGTGAGCGCAATACTTTGGTTCCTTAGGTTGTAAGCCCAGCAAGGAACGAAAGAACAGCCATATTGGGTCAGAGCAAAGGTCCCTCTAGCCCAGTATCCTGTCTTCCGACTGGGCAATGCCAGGCGCCCCAGAGGGAATGAACAGAACAGGTAATCATCAAGTGATCCCGTCCCTGTCCCAGCATCAGGCAGTCAGAGGTTTAGGGACACTGTAAGAACCTATAACCATCTTTTTGTTGTGCTTGTTCAGTGCCCAGCCCATGACTGGGGCTCCTATGTACAACAACACTGCAAAACAAATGATTGTAATAGTTTTATGTGCCTCCTTTGCTGCCCTGAGCCTCTCTTTGGAACAGGATGGATTCTAGAGTTGGACCCTTCCCGAACCTTCAGTTGTGTTTGGAGCAGACAGATGCCACCTGTGCTGCCACAACAAAAATACACTCCCACCCCTGAGTTCTCCCAGGGACTTGTTTCACAGAAGTACCACAGAGTTCCCTGTGTTCTCCCAGTCCTAACTTCATTGCCTAGCAGGAAGGCTGCTGTCACTCTCCTTCAAAATATTTAAGAAAGGCTGCTGTAAGGAAACTTTTAAAATCTTTGAATAAAATTAGAATTGCAAGATGAAATGCTGCATACCACAAACAGCAGATGAAAGAGGCAACATGTAAACAATGGGTGGTAGTAAAAAATTTAGTTCAAGCAGCTGTGGCTGATTTGACATCCAGAAATGTATCATTTTGTGGCAGCATGGTTACCAAAAACTCCACTGGAACATGCAACCAGACCATAGCGGCCAATAAGACATGTGTCATGGACTAGCTAGCCCTTTGAGGCAAGCTCTGCCCATCATTTAGCAGCTATCCCTAGCTTTACTGAGGAGCTGCCATTAGTTCATTAATGACCCCACTGGGTGTAATGGGGCTCAATTAGAAAGACTGACCCCAGCTGTGGTGGTGAAGCAGGGTGAGTACTATTCAAACAGAGCTGGGAACTCAGAAGATAGGTGGACCCTAGAGAAAGAAACAAGGGGAGTTCCCCTCCAGGAAGAGTCTGAGGCAGTCAAGCTGAATCACCAGGAGAGGATAGGATAGGCTCAGGGGAGGAGGGGAAGAGCAATGAGTTAGGGCCTAAAAGTAGCAGGGAGTTCCTCAGAGGTAAACTGCTAAGAGTCCCTAGCAAAGGGAAACGGGGGTAACCCTGCTGGGGAAGAAGCTGTTCAAGAGTGTCTCTACAGGGGCCAAGAAGCAAAAGATTTCATGAGCATTTGAGATGAGCAGAAGTTTGGACACTTTGAACTTTAAACTGGACCTTTAGTTACCCTAGAAGGAGACTGAATTATTACATGACTTGGCTGGAGGGCTGAGCCGCAGAAGAGTGGTGGTCGTACTACATGTAGGTACCAGTGACAGAGGGAAAGGTAGAAGAGAGGTCCTGGAGGTCAAATGTAGGTTACTAGGTAAGAGATTAAAGTCCAGGACCTCTATGATAGCATTCTCTGAAATGCTTTCAATTCCACATGAGGTTCTGCCTGTCTAACTGGCTCTGCAGGGTCTCACTGGATGAGATAATGGTGTTAGGAGTAGGGATTAAGGTTTACTGGGAACCTTTTGGGAAAGAAGGAGCCTTTGCAGCGGAGATGGGCTCCACCTAAACCAAAATGGAACCAGATTGCTGGCATGTAAAATTTAAAAGGTTGTAGAGGAGTTCTTAAACTAATGGCTGGGGGAAAGCCAACAGGTGCAGAGGAGCACACAGTTCAGACACAGACATTCTTTAGGTGAGGATTTATTAAAAGGGATACTCTATCCTAGTAAAAAAGGAGAAGATAGAAGTAGATAAAGTACAGATAGGAACTGGAGAGAAACAGTCAAATAAAAAGAGTCCCATTCAATTATATCTCATGAAAGCAGACAATTAAATGTTGACAAATTTTGTAAGTGCTTATTTATATACAAATACTAGAAGTCTAAATGCTAAGATGGATGAACTTGAGTGCCTGGTATTAAATGAGGATATTGATATAATAGGCATCACAGAAACTTGGTGGAATGATGTTAATCAATGGGACACAGTAATACTAGAGTATAAAATATATAGGAATGACAAAGTAGGTTGTGCTGGTGGGGGAGTGGCATGATATGTGACAGAAAGAACAGTCAAATATAGTAAAAAACTGAAATGAATCAAACAGTACCATGGAATCTCTGAATAGAAATTCCATGCTTGAACAATAAGAATATAGCAGTAGGAATATACTATTGATCAGGATGGTGATGGTGATTATGAAATGCTCAGGGAGATTGGAGAGGCTACAAAATCAGAAAGCCCGGTAATATTGGGGGATTTCAACTATCTCCATATTGATTGGGTTCATGTCACCTCAGGATGGGATGCAGAGAAAATTTCTAGACACCATTAATGACCGCTTGGAGCAGTTGCAACCCACAAGGGGAGAAGCAATTCCTGATTTAGGCCTTGGCTACACTGGCGCTGTACAGCGCTGCAACTTGCTGCGCTCAGGGGTGTGAAAACACACACACACACACCCCAAGCGCAGTGAGTACAGCGCTGTAAAGCGTGAGTGTAATCAGAGCCTGCAGCGCTGCATGCTATTCCCCTCGGAGAGGTGGAGTACTTACAGCGCTGCGAGAGAGCTCTCGCAGCGCTGGCGGCGCGACTACACTCGTGCTTCACAGCGCTGCTGTGGCAGCGCTGGGAAGTCCTGAGTGTAGCCAAGGCCTAAGGCTTAAGTGGAACACAGGACCTGGCCCAAGAAAATGTAGTTGAACTGCTTGATACTAGTGACCATAAAGAAACTAAATTTAAACATTCTTGTAGGGAAAATACAAAAGAAACCCACCACAGTAGTATTTAACTTCCAAAAGGGAAACTACACAAAAACGAGGAAGCTAGTTAAACAGAAATTAAAAAGAACAGTCACAAGAGTGAAATGCCTTTAAGTTAAATGCTTGGAAACTATTTTAAAAAACCATAACAGAAGCTCAAACTAAATGTATACCCCCAAATAAATAAATAAAACAAAAAAAAAATGCCACCATGGCTTAACAATAGTGTAAAAGAGGTGGTTGGAGGCAAAAAGGCATCCTTTTAAAACTGGAAGTCAAATCTTACTGAGGAAAATAGAAAGGAGAATAAATTCTGACAAGTTAAGTATAATTAGGCAGGCTAAAAATAATTTGAAGAGCAACTAGCAAAAGCCACAAACTAACAGCAAAATTAAATAAGTAAATCAGAAGCAGGAAGCCTGCCAAACAGTGAGTGTGGCCACTGGACAATCAAGGTGCTAAATGAGCACTCAAGGAAAATAAGGTCATTCCAAAAAAGCTAAATGAAGTCTTTGTATCAATCTTCAGTGCAGAGAATGTGAAGATGTGAGGGAGATTCCCACACCTGAGACATTCTTTTTAGGTGACAGCCCCCGTGGAACTGCTGTGGCACAGGAGTGCCTGTGGCACGGAGCTGGCGTAACCACCATCCCAAAGAGCCCTAGGAGTAGGCTGGGGAATGAGGGTGTGACTGGAACACCGTAACTGTTTCCAGATTCCAGAAGGTAATTGGGCATAAGGTAAGGGAATCCAAAATTACCTCTGGCTAGAGTTTGCCCAAGAATAAGACATGAAGATGGCATCTAAATTGTAAGAAGTGCTTTCCTAATTGTGACTTGAAATATATAGGACTTTCCAAAACAACTCTTTCCCATTTGGCATTTATATATATATGCATGAAGTATACATTCATTGCCTTCCTAGGAAGATTTTTATATGATACAATTAAAAACATTATGAATTTAATTATAGGTGGGGCTAGTGGCACCGCCTACTATGAAGGCTATTTGACACTTCCCATTATAAATCCTGTTGTTCATTGTAATTTAGCCAGACTTTAACTGAGTGGGCTGAAATTTTCCATGCCAGGTGTTTTAACAGTGTTGTGGGTTTGGTTTTGTATTTTTAGAGGGGGAGGGAGGGTTATGCAATATACATAAACTATATTCCACTCTGAAGTTTGAAGGCTGCGTATGCATTTAGAATGCTGCAAGCTTCTCAATTTCTCTCGTTATATTACACACACAATACTACATACATTAAAAGACATTATTAAGGTTGTAAAGTCAAGCACTTGAAAGCTAGCAAATGCCAGAATTAAGGTTGCCTGCCTCTTTCAGTGCACAGACTGGACCTGCTTTGGGGATGAATCAGGGCTGTGTAAGTTAAGGAGACTACTCCTGCTCCATTTGTTGCAGAAATTAAGTGTGTAGTACAGGGATCGGCAACCTTTGGCATGCGGCCCGTCAGGGAAATCCGCTGGTGGGCCAGGATGGTTTGTTTACCTGCAGCGTCCGCAGGTTCGGCCGATCGCAACTCCCACTGGCCGTGGTTCGCCATTCCAGGCAAAAGGTTGCCGATCCCTGGTGTAGTGAATGAGGTAGGGGACTGCAGAAAGAGAAGGGATGGTTTATGGTTGAAGTAGTTCAGTGCTGCCCTAGAGAACTGGATTCTATTCCTGCCTGTGCCACAGAATTCTGATGTGATGCTAGTCAAGTCACGAAATTGTCACATATTGTGTATTCCTCATGTTCTCGTGCCTGACTTTAGACCAGGGATCGGCAACCTTTGGCCCGCGGCCCGCCAGGGTAAGCACCCTGGCGGGCCGGGCCAATTTGTTTACCTGCTGCGTCCGCAGGTTTGGCCA